CGAAGACACCCCCCACCTGGGTGCAAACGTACCTGCGATCAACTGTTGTCCAACCTGTTCTACTCTCTTTTTTGCTTTCATGGTGGTTTTCATGATACGTCCCCCAAACCAGGTTTCCATGCACGGCGTTAATTCGGGCTGCTAAGTAATCAGTAACTAATTTTCTGCAGTCGTGCATCACGAGAAGAAACACTTTTTTCAAACACCTTCAAGTGATCGGACGCTTCACCTTGCCGTTGAGCCATTCCTTTTCTCGGGGAATTGAGTTAACTGAAAACCCAATGTCAAAGTGTGCGCCGCTCTGCCGTCCGCCTTGGGTGCAGGGTGTGATCCCCGTCACTGGGGCGCTGTTTTCATGCCGGAGTATCACTAAAGGATTTTGCTGCTTTCCGCACACGTTGGATTATCTTAACCGACTTTGCTTCACCACTGTATTCCCAAAATCCAAGCCGCGGGGTACCACGGTTTTTACGACCACCGGGTATACGGAAAGTCAAAGCCGCCGGGTACGGAGAATGACCTCACCTAATTAGGGTAACTGAGGGAAATGGTACTCGACACACTTGTGTGTCGGTGCCTTTCCCTCTGTTGTCCCTGTTCTAGTCTACTCTACCCGGGCGGTCTAAGACTAAAGTCACGCCCCCTAACTATTGCGCCTAATTAGTTTCTGATAAGTATTCGGTAACTCTAGAGCGCTAAGTATTCAGACGCACACATGTACACACACATGGACACACACCCCTTCCCTGCCCCCCGCTTTCTTTCTTTCGTCGTTTCTTGGGCTTTCTTTCGGGCTTTTTAGGTGGTTCTTGAGGCTCGTTTCCCTGCCCCAGTCAAGGGCTAAGTATTCACCTTTTGCTACACCTATTTTTCTCTCCTGCCCTTTTTACGCTGCTCTTTCCGTTTTTCTTTCTTTCTTTTCTAAGGCTTTTTTCAGCCATACCTCGCGCCGACCTGGTCCGGACGGGCTTATTGCAAGGCGTTGGCGCAGCCAAAGAACGGTAACTAAAAATCTCTGTTCAATGCGGCTGCATATATTCTTGCATCATCGGTGTTTTCATCGAAATTATGATGTCTTAAAACGTTTTCGTACGCAAATTTGTTTGTGATACGCAGCCAGTTTTGCCTCGGTTTGCCAACTCGTTTGGTGCCGTAATCAACTCTAGATGCAGTGCTATCAACGAGCGATACTCCTCATGGGGTCATCATTACTGCTTCTAATTATATGCCCAAGTAATTTACATCGTCTGTTCATATGGTAATCTTTTGATTCGTACATGACCGATCTATGAAAGTAGGCGGTCTTTTGAGAATCTCTCTCAAGCTTCTTAATTGGAAAGCATCTAGTGATTTGCTCAGCGCCTGGGTTAAATGTATAGTTTCTAACCCATATAAAAGCTTACTCCGGATTATAGCATCAAAAATGATTAGCTTCCACTTTTTGCTGGCTCCAGAAGCTTTCCAATAGGCGTTGAGCTTAAACCAGGTCCTTCCGACCTCTGACATTTTATTGAGGATTTCATGTTTTATCTTTACAGTCCTGTTTATCTCATTTCCAAGATACATGGCCTCAAATTCTTTGTTCAAAGGGGACCCCTCATGAAAATGAATACAACCGTCCTTGTTCATAGTGATAGCAACACACTTGTTTTTATTGAGACCAAGTCCGTATCCACTCGAGATTTTCTCTGTCAACTTCAGCAATTCGTTTAATGCTCGGTTGTTCCGTGAGAAAAGTACAGTGTCACCTGCATAATAGATCATGTCAAAATTAACCCCTGGGATTCGACTATTCATCACATAAGGGGAAATACTTTGTTGAATGTCAATGTCGATACAGGTCATGACTAATACAAATAGGAATGGTGATAGTGGGCCTATTTAGGTGCCTATTTAGGTTTTGCGCCAGAGCGCCGCAAAGCGGCTGAGTGTGTGTGTGTGTGTGTCCACCCCTGTTTCCAAGGGCACTACTCTAGCTATTCCTACTACTTCAGCCAAGCACTCTTGTACAGACCATGAGCAGGGGGGCAACGGCCAGTCTTCTTACGTTGCCCAACGAAGCTATAGAAGACTGGTGGAAGCATTCAGGGACGCCTGAGTGTGTACCTGCTCTCAATTGTTTAAACCATGATTTGTTACAACAATTCTGTTCGACCGACTTTGCACCCTTTTTTCAGTCAAGGTCTAATCTGCAGTAACTCTAAAGGGCTAATGCACTCCGCGAAGCAGCCTGAAATCGCGCTCTACGGAGCAACCAACTCAAGTGTGTCTTCGCAGCTTCTTCCCACTGTGGTAAGCTGTGTGATCCCTGCGGGGCGCCGTTACTGCAAGAACCTTCTCACTCCTCACCGCAGGAGTAAGTTTCCTGAAACTTTTCTGAAGCTCACACGACTGGATTTTCTTGCTTGAAATCAGCTTGATTGGACTGTCTCACCTTGCACACGTGAAGTGTTACTGCAGAGTTTCACTGAAACTTCCACTGAAATATACTGCAGAGTTTCACTGAAACATGTCTCACACCGGAGATGTTTCCTTGTTCCAATTTTTAAACAATTTTCATAATTTTAATAAATTTAACAAAGCGCTGATTCGGCTTCTCGGACAGTGCCCATGGGCCCGTACCGTTCGCTCGTAAGAGCCATCCCGACCCCGCACCCCGCGCACCTTTTCTTGTTTTTCTTGCCTTTTCGTTTGTTTTGTTCCTTCCTTCAGGCTTTTTAGGTATGATCAAGGCTCGTTTAGTCAACGCACGCCCTGCTCGGCCCCCGCACCCCCTGCACCTTTCTCTTCTTTCCTTGCCTTTTTCGTTTGTCCTGTTCTTTTCTTCAGGCTGGTTAGGTGGCATCCAGGCTCGTTTAGTCAATGCACGCCCGAACACCCCTTCACCCCCTGGCGGAAAAAGGCGAGAGAACAAAGGCGAGAAAAAGAAAAAGAAAAAGGAAAACCAAGCTTCAGCTGACTGATTGGCTTCCAAGACGGTTTCTAGTTTCGCCGGATTCGGCTTTCTGTGTGTGTCCACCCCTGTTTCCAAGGGCACTACTCTAGCTATTCCTACTACTTCAGCCAAGCACTCTTGTACAGACCATGAGCAGGGGGGCAACGGCCAGTCTTCTTACGTTGCCCAACGAAGCTATAGAAGACTGGTGGAAGCATTCAGGGACGCCTGAGTGTGTACCTGCTCTCAATTGCTTAAACGATGATTTGTTACAACAATTCTGTTCGACCGACTTTGCACCCTTTTTTCAGTCAAGGTCTAATCTGCAGTAACTCTAAAGGGCTAATGCACTCCGCGAAGCAGCCTGAAATCGCGCTCTACGGAGCAACCAACTCAAGTGTGTGTCACACTCTGTTTCCAAGAGTTTTTACATGCAGGGGGCCGGAGCCAGGTGGGGGGTCTCCGGCCAACGAAGACACCTCCCCACCTGGGTGTCTTCGTACCTGCGATCAACTGTTGTCCAAGCTGTTCTACTCTCCTTTTTGCTTTCATGGTGGTTTTCATGATACGTCCCCCAAACCAGGTTTCCATGCACGGCGTTAATTCGGTCTGCTAAGGAATCAGTAACTAATTTTCTGCAGTCATGCATCACGAGAAACACTTTTTTCAATCACCTTCAAGTGATCGGACGCTTCACCTTGCCGTTGAGCCATTCCTTTTCTCGGGGAATTGAGTTAACTGAAAACCCAATGTCAAAGTGTGTGTGTGTGTGTGCGTGCGTGTCTGTGCAGCCACTGCATGTGCAGCTTCTGCATTCAGCATGCAACGCTCACATGTCTGCGGTCAGAATGCATGCGGTTGAAGTCCCAGTCAGCTGCTCTGCTCTTGTTTGACTTCTTTCGATTGCTTTGCGCAATTGAGAACATTACACTATGCCTGCTACTATCTAGAAGGCCACTCTGAATTCAATTGAAACAATAATTAATGACCAGCGCGGCTCTGGATGAAGATAGAGCTTCATGCCTGCAGCTTTGCTACGCAGCCAGCAGCATACATGTCAATCCCCACCATACTTTTTGGCAGGACGTCAAATCATTAAACTTTAACTCCTCGACCTTAAAGTCGAGAGTCATCTGCAAGCCTGTGGAGCTTGCAATCTGCTTTGTTGGAGTGTTTGGGTTCTATGTGAAACAAACTGCACAACTGCCAAAGGTCCTTGGTTTCACTACCATGGACGACGGAGACAGCTGCAGCTACGGTTTACTTATATACAGTCTGACGAGCAAAACAATCAGAGCCAATCAGGAACGCTGCTTCACTGACTCTTCATTGGTGCTCCTTTTGCCAAAGCAAACATTCAACCCTTAAGCTTACTCCGGCCAAAAATCCCAAAGCAAACAATACTTAGCACTCAAGTCTCCACCTAGCTGACCAATTTGCTTTCATCCTCTTCAACCAAGTCATACTCTGGATCAAAGTCACAAACTCTATTTACAATAAATTAACATTCATCTTGAAAGAAGGGCGGCTCATGACCGTGGTAAATGAAACAGGCCAATGATAATGCTCTTTCCAGCGCCAGAAGCAATCACAAGGGATGAGGGTTGGAATGGCCTCCACCTAGTAGCTTCTAGTTACTAGAAAGTTAAATCTTACTAATAGCGATGGCCTCCACCTTGCCAGAAGAATGTACTCCAGCAAGGTCGCGGCAAAGGGTAAACCAAAGCACATACTCTAGACATAGTTGTGGTCGTGGCACACTCCGCTGACCACGTCATAGACTACTTTGGCTAGGCCGTCTCACATGTCCAAGCCTGATCTCTAGCCCTGGCAAGACCTTTTGATGCATTGGGAGACTGGAAGGGAGATGGTAAAGTCCAGGTAAAGTATCTGCATTGGAACCCACCAACCCCACGGCGGTCAAGTGGAAAGAACTTTTGCTTGGCTGGCTGCACGTTGGAGCAATAGGTGTGCAGAAAGCCGGAGGCCCAAGACAGGTCTCTGTATATAACGGCCCAGCACCGACCCAATTCTTCATACATCGACCCCCAGCATCAGCCTCTCCTCAGATCACTAACCCTACAGGCCGGGGAAGTAGGCCATCCTGCGGCTGCACCAAGATTGGAGCTGCCTGTCCGGGCTTCGCATGTTTGACAGCACATGGAATTGTGACTTCATGTAGCCACATGATTACACAAAACAAAAAGAACATATATAGAAAAGAACGGGAATAAAAACAAAAGGTTTAGAGTCTATAAAGAAAAATGGAAGGAACACCATAAGAGTGTGACAACATGAACAGCATCCATTCGACGTTCGCTCTCTCCCGCCACAGGTCTCTCTTGACAGAAACGCGCAATCTGCTCGGAGAGTTCCAGCTGACCAGCAGATCCTCACTGTTCAAAAAAGGACATATGAGACGCACCGGCTCCTAGTAGCTTCTTGCTCCTAGTAATATGATAAATGGTGTCAGGTTTTCCAACAATCTAGGAAGCAATATTAGATGATCCAGGGGTCTTGGGCTCAATTGTTTCAAGTCAGGGTGTGAAGTGGCTCTTGGCTCTTGCAATTGCTGTGGGGAGTAAAGGGTTCATGCCTGCTGAGAACCCAAGTTATAGAGGGTGATTACATGGCTGAGGTTGCCTGAACCTACTGCTGTATCGTCCCTACTGCTGAGCGCATTCGGCCACTTCAACTGCTCCCTCAAGGATCTCCTTCAACTTTGTGACAAAGTTTTTGACACGCCTCAAAGGCAGCACTCTCCTCGCAAGCTCGTAGACTCTCTGAGAAATTGGAATCTCTCCCTCCGCTTGCGCTGATTGATCTACCTGTTCTGAGGTAGCCAATTCGTGTTTAATGGTAAGACAGCGCGCCGATTCACGCAGTATGTCGGTTTGCTTTTGCTACCTGGCTTCCAATTCTGCCAAAAAAACAAAACAGAGATGTGATGCGGATGGAAAATGGTGCCTTTATAAAGCAACCAATGTGTTTCCTAACTCAACTGCAGTAGTAACATGGTTCACAAGAATTCCTATTCTGTGAAAAGCTCCGTCCGTGCGTTCAATCAACACACCTTGAAAGCCTATCACATGCGGAATAGCAGGCTTCGCAAGCCTCTACCATCGCCCCCCCGCTGTTTACTTTCCTGATTCTCACATGTTCAGGTCCTTGGCCGCCTGCTTGGAGGAAAAACTTAGCGAGTCACTGGCAGCCTCACAAATCATGAGGTCCCCCAGCAATATGGAGACCTCAATGCACCGCATTGAAAGCATTTCATTTTTGCGCTCGAGAATGCTCAACCTTGCTTCATCTGATGGTTCGGAGTTCAGAACACCAAATTGCAAGAGTTTGAAGTGTAGTTGCGGGTGTCAAGAGTCGCCGCGCAGAACAAGCCAAGGCACTGTACAGCAGAAAACTGGCACCTGTCGCAGGACTTGCTTCGGGCCACGAAAAAGGTGCGTGATGAAAGCCTCTCCCTAAGGCTACCAAAACTTCTCTTACAAGTCATGGTCAAATCCTTTAGCAAAAGACTCAGCATTCCCCATCATTCCTCGCCCCCGGGCACCATAGGACCACAGATTGGCTGCTTCTTGAACTCCTGGCTGAAATCCTTCTGAAGTTTTTCCTCAGGTCCAGCCGGGCACATTTTGGCACATCGTTTCATGTGGATCTGCAAACAGGAGAGAAATGCGGACGTTTTCAAAAAGAGAGACCCAGCCAGATCTCTTGGAAAGATGTCTAAAGATAAACACAGTCTAAAACTTGGTTGGAAGGTCACGCGACCTCTGAAACTCCAAGACGAGCAACGACCATGGCACGAGCGGCACTCTGTTCCGCCGCCTTTTTGTTAGGGCAAGCCGCGCTCAGCACGGTTTTCTTCTCCTATCGGCTTGCAAAGCTTGAGACATTGTGGTCAATGCTATCACGAGATCTCACAGCCGATGGCGAATCTCAAGTCAAGCCAACAAATGGAAACAGTGGCAGGACAAGTCTTGTCCGCTTTTGGTCAATGCGCCTCCATGATATTCACCTCGACCGAAGTGACGAATGGCGGTGCATCCTTAGCAAATGGCAGGAATCTCCACACAATGGTTCAACCAAGAAATCATGTCGATAACAAGCAGGGATTAACAAGCCCTCAGCATTCTAAACGAAATTGAACGCGTATCCTCAGTCCAATAGGTTCAGCATGGAGCTCCAAGTAGCTGCTGGGGTGTTGAAAACCAGATCTCCAGCGTTCAACGTGTGCCCCAGCAGTTGCCTCGAGTGACTTTCAATGCATGATGGCTGCTTAAGGCAGTTCACACCATCAAATGAATTGGACGGCGATTGGCCGTAGCTATTGGAATTGGAAGTTTGTGTAGGGAAGTAGGGACAAGCTGTTGCAATGAAGTTCTTTGCATCTTTGGCCTTGGCCAAATAATAAGTATGTTCGGAGCCTCCTGCCTACTTTGACCCTGAATTATTTTATAATCTCAAAGTTACTGTAGCTGCTCCACCAGCTGTCCTGGAAGCGCAAAGTGAATCAGTGCGATTCCATTTCATACATTGCATCTTGAACTTGTTCATGTCTTTGCGTGAGAATGATGTGCTACTCTCAAGAAAGAAGAGTCCTTTGTAGTTTGAGGTGAACATTTGCGGTATCTTCTGCTTCGCCGGGGAAGCACGGATGTTCAGCCTGTGGCAATGGAACAGAAACTCACCAGTGCTGAGTACAGCTGCATATTCATGTGTTGCATTGTCAAGTGGAACAGTATCAGAAGCATGCCGAAAACCAGCTCAAGTCACATGTTGCTACAGAGTGCCTAAAATGGTTCATGAGTTTCAACTTCAGAGTAAGATTTGAGACTTATTAATTTTGCGCAACATCCGCCCTTGCGCTCGTGCCCCACCCTTCAAGTTCATCTAATGCCCGCGCAGCCGCCGACTGCTCAGCCGGCTTCTTGGCGCTGCAGGCTGCACCGACAAAGCGCCGCCGCTCGCTGCCTCTTGAGGCTCACACAGAGGCGGCGCCCATCAAGGGCAACCGCTCAATACATATTGTTTCACTAGTAGCAAGAAGCTACTAGGTGGAGGCCAACGCTTTTAGGTTGGAGGCCATCGCTACTAGGTTGGAGGCCATGGCTTTTAGGTTGGAGGCCATCGCGTTTAGGCTGGAGGCCATCCTGTTTAGGTTGGAGGCCATCGCTACTAGGTTGGAGGCCATCGCTTTTGGGTTGAGGCCATTGCTACTAGTTTGGAGGCCATTGCTACTAGCAGCAAGAAGCTATTTCTTCAGCATTCAACACCTGAAGCCTTCTCAATGTGTAGGAAAGAGTGCACTCAGGAACTTTGCTAAAACAGCTAGAAACTCTACCGGTTATATATCCACTCTTGTCCGTTTTCATCATTCTTGCGGCAATGCTGGATGGCGCCAGTGCCAACACTAAAGAGTCCAGTCTTCTACCAAGCAAAAGGTCTTTGTTAGATCACCCTTCCAGATACACTTGACACCCTATATATATATATATATACACCTTGCGTGTGGATATTAATCTGCTCAACGTGAAGTATACGTAGACTATCCTCTCCCTCGTAGACAGCGATGGCGCGCTCTTGTTTTCCGCTTCCTCTACGGGAGTCTTGGGCCAAATGTAGGCGTGACACGCTAATGTATACTGTACATGCATATGGTATGCTTTCGTCCCACTGCTATTGACACCCCCCATGTGACCGACACTATCAGCAATGGTCACACTTGAAATTCAAGGGTAGTGGACTATGTACAGTGGTTCGCTATAATTTGCCGCGAGACCTATCAAAATAGACTCTAACTACACAGCACTGTTGGAACTAAGCAGTCTTTTACATATACAGCGCGCACCTCATCCTTTGGCTATACAAGTCAATTCGTGAAAACTGACAGTGAAAATGTGCCTCGCGCAGATTCCACTCAGTAGTTCTTCGCCCTGATGTAGACTGAGTTTTGCATCTTTTCAACTGTAGAATGCTCACACGCAGATACTCTTACGACCTTCAGAAGTCAAGCGACGTGCACTGACCTTGTTCATCAGAGGTTCAAGAGCGAGTACGCTGAACATGTTCTTCAAGGCGTCACACGCAGTGCGTTGACCGTTCCTTGTGTCAGGTATCTTGTTCTTCCTCATTATAACGTTCTTCTCCTTGTCCCGCCCTTTGGCCACGATCCCATTCGTCCCAACTTTGGCGAGCTTCTCGGATTCGTGGGTTGTTCCAACCGTCATCATTCAATGTTGTACTATAGGCGTTCCAGCTGCGATGATTCCATTCAATCCTTCGCCAGGTAGCGCCTTGACCTTTGGAACTCTTTCCACTCCCTTTTCCTTTTCCGTTTCGCCTATGTTCTTCTTGCTCAGGAGCACGTTGGCTTGATGAAGCTGCTTCGGATGGCGGTTGTTCAAGTCCAGGAGCGGCACTGGGAAAGTTGGGTCTCCATTTTCCTTCCACAACATTCTTCCCATACTCTTGATATTTGTCCATCAGTCTCTGTACTTGATCTCCGTCCAGCAAACTGTGCCATCTTTCAAATGCTCTTGCGTCATGATGATGTGTCATTGCCTCCAAGGTCTTCTGCGCCAGTGGAAGTAAGGTAACCTTTGCCTGGTCCATCACCAAAAGCATTACTCTGTCCCACTTGTTGACCGGCCTTGAATACACGACGTCCTGAGGGTCGATGCATTTGTGCATGTCATTGCTGTTCAGGTCACCCTGGACAGCCTGGAAGTAAGAGTATGATGTGACACTGTATATCGCATTCACACACTTTCTGACCATCTTCGACATAGCATCTTGCTTGGCTCTTTTGCTTGACTCCACCATGGGTTGAACAGTTCCCGGCGGCGGGCGATCAGTTTCACCAAGCTCTTCTTTGAAAGTAGTGGGTGTATATCCGAAAGCAATTGCTTGTAGCGCAAGTTTCCCAATCATTTGTTCTCCTCGCAACATGTGCCATGCTTCAACTAGATTGACTCCTTTCGATTTTGCAAAAGCTTGCATTTGCTTTTCCGTCGGATCTTTGGGCATACCGCCCTCATCAAATCCATTGGAAACTCCTTTGGTAAAGTCTGACATGACATCCAATCTCTTCTTCGAGAAAAGTTCACGGAATCTGGTAATGCCAGTTTGATGATACGAAGTGTACATAGGCTTGACTCGGCTTGATAACCTGGGCGATGCATCTGATGACATATCTGTCCATGAGTCCTGATGATCCCCTTCCTGTATCTTGGCATCCAGCTTCATCCTGCGAGTCAAATGGTACTGGCTCGGGATATCTACACCATTTTGGAAGCTCGTGGTTGGCGAGGTGCTCTTCAGGGTTGAAGGATCTTGGTCCAGCACTCTCGTAGTCCTCGTCGTCCTCGTCATCGATTCTCCCACTTTTGGTTTCGGTTTCCTGATCTTCTGTTTCAATTTCTTCAATCACCTTATCTGGTGTTCGAGTGAACTCAGCGGTGCTCTTGTTGATCGCTTCTAGCTCATCAATGGTTTCCTCAATTTCTGGAGCTTGTGAATCGCGTTCATAGTCGACTTCACCAGCGTCGAAGGATGGAGTGAACAAGCCTTGGCTTTCCTCCCTTCTCGATTCTCAGCTCTCCTCAATGTGCTCTTGGCTGATTTCTTCCTCTTCATCGTCAGGTACGATTTGAGACTGCAGTGCGGACTTGACCTTGTCCATCTTCACTTTGTCAATCATTTCTTGCTCTTCTTTGTCGGGATCATTCACATGCTCCGTTTCAACATCATCTCCCTTTTCCACTTCGTCGTCATCATCAATCTCGACAACGTTGCTCGTGGAGACAGTGTTTCTGGCTCCGCAGCTGTGAAATCGTCCATGACAATGTAGGCATAAAGTGAAGATATTCGACGTCACGTTCATGCATGCAGGGCATAGGATGTTCCCATCAACACTGCTGTAGCCCTCACAAGTTCTGGCGATGATCACATTCCATGGCTCTTGTTTTGTCCTTTTGGTATCACCATCATTGACAATGTCATCGAGCTTGCGGATGTTGTCATCTCTCCTTGCGCTTGCTTTCTCGATGATTTGATCTTTGGCTGCGACCTTGTTCGAATGGGTTGCTGCTGCGATAAGGTGTTTCGTAACCCCTTTAGCCAACAAGCTTTTCCAATTCCCTTTGACTGGCTCTCTGTACCATGCACCTTTGACGTTCTCCCATGGCACTCCTTTGAACATAACAACATATGAACTTTCGGCAAGACGTGCACCGAGACGTTGAAGATAGGCAATGGGTACGTATAGAGCTACTGGAACATCATCCGTAGGGATTTTTGATCTCAGCAAAGTGGTTGATCTCGTACCCCACGGTGCAAAATGGTTGAAGAATGAACTTCCCCTGAAGCCCTTGTCCCCACCTGGTAGGATTCCATGCTTTACTGTCGAAGGTATCTTCCCAAGAGTTGTCACATGGAAGCTTCCACCAAGCTGCATTGCAATGGTGTCTGCGATTTCATGAGATGTGAGGCGTGGGTCGAGGACGACATCATTCTCGTTCTTGTCGGTGTGTCTTGACTCCAGGTTGTGGGATGACACTGCTCTCATTGCCACTGGAAGCAGCCATCTGTCATTTTCAATGTACCATCTCACGTCATTCGGCACGCGGTAGTTCTCTTCCCAACATTCTCTCTGTTCCTCCTTCATGACATCGCTGATCGAAATACGGACTGCAGCAATTTGGAGTCTGACTCGATTCTGCATCGTCTTCGAATACCACATGGCTTGGCAACACCGGCGGTACCGTGTATCAAGAATCTCGTCCAGGTAGTTTCCACGTTCTGCTTCTCTGGTGATTCGATTGCTATTGTCATTGAAGATGTGTCCATACATGAGTACATCATTGATATTCACCCATCCTCCTTCGTTGCATGGACGGATATCATGTTGTCTGCCTGAGCGTCCGATCACCTCCGCCTTTCCGGTCTGATGTCTCAGGACTTTGTTGAGTTTTCTGCTGATTCCATCGACCGTGAGGTACTCGTCGGTGTTCCTGTGGATGTATGTCCCTTGGTCAAGTACAGGCGGCTCAATGAACTTTCCTGTTCGATCTTCCTTGCCATTCCACATTCTGACGCAAAAAGGCTGTACCATGTTGTGGGATGATTTCAATGTTGCCTCGATCGCAATCCAGTTGAATTTGTCGGTATGTTGGTTTCTGCGCTTGTGTCTCATCATCTTTTAGATTGCGCTCTCGTCGACATGCCCTCAAGTGATCTTGCATCTGCATGGTGGTCCTGACGCATCAATTGTCTTGTTGATGACCTTGAACTCGCCTCCCTCCACGTCGTCAACAATTGAACAAATATCCACCGGTTCATCAAATCTTGTAATGATGGTGGCATTGTCAAATGAACGTTTCATGGGTTCAACGGCTTTCTTGTAGTCATCATTGTTGCTAGACGATTTCGACTTTGGTTGTTCTTTGGATGGATGGGTTAGTGACTCCTCGCCCAATTGCGCAGTTTCCTTGGGCAGGTCTATGTCCTCCATCTTGACATCCTCGTCGTCATCTTTTGCAGTCTTTGCCCTCTTCTTTTCTCTTTCGGCTTGATCTCTCTTGATTATCACCTCGTCGTGATCAGTGAAGTTGACTTTGAGGATATTCTCGATGTGGTCGAAGCATGTCAAGATCTCCTTCTTATTCTGCGAGAAATTCTCATTGTCACAGTCTGCCAGCGAATGGGCTTGATATTCAAACTGATACAAGTGCATAGATGTGTACAATACCTCAACGTTGGATGTTGTCTTGAAGTTGAGGAGTATCAACGCTAGGATCTCTCTTCCCTTGATAAGCGTAGAGGTTCCCCCTTTTGCATTGATGCGTGTTCTCAATTTCATGGCAACATTGTTTCCTTCTTCCTTGGAGTCTGCGACAACTTTGGTCAATGCTAGTCCCAATTTCGCATCGATAGAATGGAATCTTGAATCGCCGGAGTCCATCAACCTGTCAGGATCAAGTTGGCCTTCCATAATCCGAGATCATTGACCTTGGGCCATGGTGGTACATTCACCTTGGATTCTTCCTTCCTGGATACCTTAGTCGCAAAGGTTGGGGATGAGGATGACGCCGATGCAGTCTCTGAAAATTTGTGCTTGAGTTCCGCACTCTCACATTCAACCTCATGGATCTCCTTGAGCCCTTCTTCGTAACAATTAAAGGCTTCCAGGTACCAATCATACGCCTCGTCACACGCATTTCTTAATCTGTCTGCTTCATTTTCTTCATGTTTGAGGTCTTCTTTCAAGCGTGACTGGCTTTCCTCGTTGATCCGAGTAGTTGGTAACCCCCGTCCTTCTCGACTTTCACCCCATGACGCATCTCGGCCTTCATTCTCACGTTCTCAGATTTTGCTTCCAGCAACTTCTTTTCAGCGATTTCCCGATTCTCCTCTAGTTCTTGGAACTTTTCTTCAAGGACTATCCTCTCTCTACCATCAGTTGCAGACGATTTCAAGAGGTTCTCTCTCCTCAATACTCTGTTTGTTGGCTTCAGTGAAAGCAAAGTTGGCTTCTTTCATCTGCCGTTGTTCTTCTTTCGAATGTTTTTGCAGCTTGTTTGCAGCATCTTCCACCGTCTTCATTGCTTCAGCCAACACTCCTGCTTCGTATTTGTATTATTGTGTTCGCATCTCCTTCTCGCTGATCTCCAGCTTGAGTCCCTGTATCTCTGTGTCCTGTTCTAGGTCATGATGACCCATCTCTGCTATCATGCTCATTTCAGATCCTTTGAGGCTTGCCAGCTGACCTCGAAGATGATCAACCATTCTTATCTCTAGGTACTGATGACCAGTGGTCTCAGCAACTTCGTCGGCCAGTTGCATTTGATGCACTTCACTGCTCCATTGCTTCTCCCTCTCTCTCTGAGCTACCTCCAACATGTCGCTGTTCTCATCTTGTAGCATCAGCATCCTCGTTTGGAGCTCGCTAGCGACGTTCATGATCGCTTGATTCTCCGCAGTGAGATGTTGTGCCCGTCTGTTGTAGGAGTCAGAGGTCTGGTTCTGCTCTTGGATGTATTGAAACGCACCTTGCATCTCGCTGTTCATATCCTCCATTTTGGATCTTACCTCGTCAAACTGGGAGTGCTCCTCGTGATTCTCACGGGCAACCTCCTCGTACTTCGTGTAGATGTGATCTGCCAATGATTCAGCAAGTCGAGCTTTCTCTCGAGTTCTTCGATTCGTATGGTTGCTCCTTCATCCTCTCACATCATTTCTTGTAGGTGAGTGCCCATAGCCATATTGCACCTTGTCAATTGCGAAAATTCTTCTTGCGATTCAGCATAGAGTCTCGTGTATCCTCCATGCCAACAAGTGTATTCGTCGTTCAAGTACTGATACGATGCTCTAGCTGCGCGGAGTTCTTCCAATAGTCGGATTTCTCTCTCTTTGAGTTCTTTAGCATCTTCAATTTCAACTCTCTCAATATCCCGGCGATGTAGATCTCGTGAATCTCTTCACGATTCCCTTTGCGTTGCCCATTCGAACATCAGATCCGGTGGAAGTCGCCTCCAGTGGAGCGACTCTTCCGTCACCTGACATTTGTGATGTGGAAGGCATAGTCATCACTGTGGCAGCATCAGCAGGGCTGGCACCCGGTATCGAGCCAGGTGATGATTGCGATGCATTTCCTCCTGGAGCGGCGAAAGAGAATTGTCTGCTCTTTCCTCCAGAACTCGACATTGTGAGTTGAGTCTTGATTGCAGTATTGGTCTCTCAGAGCTCGTAACCTCAGAGCGGCTACGGCTGATAACCTGCGTGTGGGTATTAATCTGCTCAACGTGAAGTATACGTAGACTATCCTCTCCCTCGTAGACAGCGGTGGCCCGCTCTTGTTTTCCGCTTCCTCTACGGGAGTCTTGAGCCAAATGTAGGCGTGACACGCTAATGTATACTGTACATGCATATGGTATGCTTTCGTCCCACTGCTATTGACATACCGTCATACCTCAACGTCATATTGAACACTATCACATTGACACCATACTTCCGTTTTAGACAAATCCTCCACCTCCAAGGCCATCGGGCGTCAATGAGACGGAGGCAGTGAAAGGTGCGCTATTGGAATCAAGCTCGTAGACGACATCCCCCTTCATCACTGGTCCTTGCGACTGCTTGGAACACAGGAGAAACATACATATGTTCCGTCTTCCACCTACATCAATTGAAGTTCGTTGCAAGTGTTTTCTCACAGAAAGTCATGAAACGCTGCTCCATATCTATCCAGATTCTGCCAAGATTCTACGAAGGAGCTTGTGAAGCAAGTTATTCAGCTGACCCTTGTAGTTTGTACCTTGAGGATTGCACTTTGAGGTGTCATTGAACTCCCCAAAATGGCCTTGCCTTCGCCTTCTTTCCCATTCTGGCAAGTACTAGGACCCATTTTGTCAGAATGGCCCTGGGTCTAGTGGCGCTATTCAGGTAACTTGTAAATTCCTCTTGTTTCGGGTGATTTGTAGACAGTGGTCATAGGTCGCCGCCCTCTGGAATTTCGGACTGAGCATAATTTAATACAAGAACACTATTTGGTGGTATTCGCACCACATCATGGATGACTTGGTTTGACCACTCTCTAGTGTATTGACTTGAAAGGCTGACAAAACAAGGCTGCATGAAAGACTACCTGCTCAAAAGCAAGATTGGAATCCTCTATGCGACTTTGACATGGTAGTGATCGAGAACCTTTCGCAAGTCCAAGTGGCCACTGGAAGAGTCACCAAGTCGAGCAATGTCCTTGGCAGACTAAGCGCAAATGGTGCGGTTAAAGCACACGCCGAAACACTGTCGTTTAGTTTCGGGCTTTGTCCAAGTTAAATGGCCATCTGGCAACACTTGCACTCTGCTTCAGTGCGCTTTCATCAACGAGTGGGTTTTTCATACCCACACGTATCACCCACCGCTTTGTTGAGGTACAAGGCTCAGCCCGTGCGCCTTGCCAACCCATCTGGGAGCGATCCAAAAAGCCGAAGTCCCAAGTGATTTTGAGATGATGAGACATTGCCTGGGAGAACGAGGAGAACACATTTGAGAACAGTGCTGAAAGTTGACCCTATATTTGTTGGTGCTGTGTCGTACTTCAGAATCCACAGTTTCATGTTCTGAATTGCAAAAATATATGCTGATGCTGGAAAGTCTCTTGGCACCACTCGTTCAGCGTTGATATGCTCTCGGGACATGGTTGCACAGGCAACTTCCAGCGCTTTGAGTTGCAGGTCTTAGAATGTCCATGTGGACCTGAGAAGAGCAAAAAATGCTCAATTTTCCCCCACAGTGTGGTCACACTTGGTGTTCTTACGGCAACGCTTAAGGACGGGCGCCTGATCGAGGTACTCCATCGGCGTGCGCGGCTAATTCGCTGCTATTTACGGTCGTGGCAGGCGCAGGAGATCCGAGCGGTTTTACTTCGATGCGCAGGCGCAATCATGCGTGAACCTCGAGGTGCAAATGTCCTGGCGCGCGCAACACTTTGCGAAGGTGGCAGCACTGATTTCGCACTTCGTGAACCTCGAAGTGCAGACCTCGCTGCACCTCCAGATCTCTAGATCTTTGGATCTCAGCCTGTAGACCTCTTGATCTCTGTGTGCTCTCATATGTGCGCCCTCAGGCGGGCGCTTCTATATGTGTGCTCTCATACGTGCGCTCCTACATGCGCACTCATACATGTGAGGGTCTTTATGTGTGCGCTTTCACGCGCGGGCCCTCATATATGTGCTCTCATATGCTTTCAGACGCGCGCTCTTGTGTGTGTGCTCTCATGTGTGTGTGTGTGTGTAACCTTTGGACAAGGTTCCTGTTGGATTGTTAGGTTTGATTGCCAGTATAAGCAGGGGGGGCAGCAGGAACGAGAGTATGCCACCAACGAAGACACTCTCGCTTTCCTGGTGATACTGGGACTGATCATCCCAGCATACCTGCTTCGAACACAGTGACTCCAGTGGTCCAACCTGGCCCAGGCTGTTTGCAGGTTTCTCAGGCGCTGTAAAGCGCTAATGCGTTCTGCAGACTTTGCACGTTCCGGCGTCTTTGTCGATCGATCGTTTCGCGGTTTTGCAATTTGGAACCTAGAGCTTTGGAGGTTTGAGAATTTGGAGTTGCGGAGATCTGAACCCTGTTTCCTTGGGTCTTCCACTTAGGCCGGCGTGTGGCAAACCGCAACCCAATCAGTACGCGTTTCTATAAGTGTGTCTCTCCTCGTGAACGGGGGTTTGTCGTCGTTCCTGCGCCCGGGACCAGAGTAGTCCGCAGCGGACAAAGTAGGCTTAGGCCAAGGTCATTTGCCAAGACCTGCTGAATTATTGAAGTCCAAGCTGGCCGCCATTTTGGCATGCCTTTAGGCGACCATAGCGGTCAGAGCAGCCAGCTATTTTGGTACGGCGTACATGGCCGCAGCGGCCGAAGCAGCCGAAGCATGTTCAAGGTTCAGTGGAACCTGTCGCCACCTCAGGTGCACACACAGCACATACATTTTCAACGAGGTTTGCCTGGCTTTCTAATGAGGCTCGGGTTCTTTGGTTTGCGTCCCCTCCATTTCATGTCCCTTTTCATCCTTTCCCCTTCGCACACATTTGTTTTCCTCCTTTCTTTTATGTCCTCCTGTCTTCACGTTTTGTCATCTCATCCCTTCTTTCGTTTGCGCACGCGTCGGCCCTGGCCTTAGTGTGGACGTGCACATCCACATACACTTTTTACACAGATTTCAAGTCGCCCAGGTCTTGACAATGAGGTTGGGTTCATCGGTTGTCCCTGTGCACTTGGTTTCCTTTTCATTGCAACCGCACACACCTTTGTCCCGCCACGTCCTCCTTCTCATGTCTTCATCCTTCCTTTTGTCTTACTGCGCGCGCACTTTCAACGAAAACATTCTCGCTTTCCTGGCGATACTGGGACTGATCACCCCAGCGTACCTGCTTCGAACACAATGACTCCAGTGGTCCGCCCTGGCCCGGGCTGTTTGCAGGTTTCTCAGGCGCTGTAAAGCGCTAATGCGTTCTACAGACTTTGCACGTTCCGGCGTCCTTGTCGAACAATCGTTTCGCGGTTTTGCAACCTAGAGCTTTGGAGGTTTGAGAATTTGGAGTTGTGGAGATCTGAACCCTGTTTCCTTAAGTCTTCCACTTAGGCCGGCGTGTGGCAAACCGCAACCCAATCAGTACGCGTTTCTATAAGTGTGTCTCTCCTCGCGAGAGCCCAGTTGCCCCTGTGGACCCGTTGAGCGGGGGTTTGTCGTCGTCCCTGCGCCCGGGACCAGATAGTCCGCAGCGGACAAAGTAGGCTTAGGCCAAGGTCATTTGCCAAGACCTGCTGAATCATTGAATTCCAAGCTGGCCGCCATTTTGGCGCAGCCAGCCATTTTGGCACGGCGTACATGGCCGCAGCGGCCGAAGCATGTTCAAGGTTCAGTGCAACCTGTCGCCACCTCAGGCGCACTTCGAACTTGGTTTTCAGTTAGACTCAATTGCCTCGTTGGGAAGGAAGGTGATGGAACGGAAAAGTGCGTGGGTCCGATCGTTTGAAAAGTTTAACAATGTTGTCACAAAGCGGTAGCAATCAGACCGGCGGCGCAGCTGCTGGGGACGAGTAGGTTTGGGGGGAAGTATCATGAACCACCATGGAAACAACAAAGGAGATTGGACAGCTTATCAACCGTTGAGAAAGCAGGTACGTGAACCTGGCGTCCCAGGTTCATATCCTCTCCAGACATCAGTAGCTTCGTTGGCCACAGACTGATGAATGGAGCTGTGGCCCCCTGCCTCTGTTACAGTGGAAAGGTGAGAACGTGGAAAACCCTTAGAACCAGGGTGTGACACACACAACAAGCCGTGATCGGCGCACAGTCCAAGCGGTGAAGAACACGGACCTTTATCTCAAAAACCGCCTGCACGCGTGCAGGTCGTGCCCTTTTTGGGCATACAGGTGGACCAGGGCTTCAGCCGCAGCGGTGGCGTTGTGGGGTGGAAAAGTGTATGTATAGATGGAGTGAAGTCTGGAAGCTAAGCCGGACAGAGCCAAGCGCTGGCTACCGGCGCTTGTGTGGTCCCTGATTTTCCAGGGTTGGGTGGGTTGTATGTAGGTGATGGTGCGTTGCTGGAGGTCAATGTTGAAACCCAGAAGGTGGAAGTCATCCACCGTCTCCAATTCGACGGGATCGCCGAAAAAGTTGTTGTGGATGAGGGTCTGGATGGCGGGATGTGAGAGGAAGTGTTCATTGTGGACAATGAAGCGGTTGTCCGCGTAGCGGTAGTATGTGAAGTGGAGAGCAGAGTGTTGAAGGAGATTGTTGTGGAGCTGGTGCCAGGAATGTTCGATGAGGGTGATGGCAACGTTGCAAAGGGCAGGTGAGAGCTGGGAGCCAATCCCAGCCCCCCGGATTTGCTTGTAGGTGTTGTTGCATGCCCGGAAAATGCAGGTGTCGAGTGCGTATGCCACAATGGTTGTAATATCGGCAGTATGAATGGTGCGTTGTGTAGGGTGGCGTCGGTGATGCCTGCCAATATGGGAGTGATGGAAAGGATTGCTGGTGGCTTTGTTGTCAACTGTGAGAGTATGGGTGTGGTTCTGGCGTTGCCATTGCTGAATGAGGGAAGACGGCGTCAATCAGGCGGTGCTGTGGAACTGAGTTGAAAAAAACCAACAAGATCATCATTGGTGGCATGTAGGGGGATGTCTGGTGGGGTGTCGGTGAGGTAGCAGTGGAAGTGGGGCCACAGTTGTGGAATTGAAAGTTGACCTGGATGCTGGGGGAAGAGGTGTTGCAGGATAATGTCAAGGGCTCGGCTGGTAATGCGGAGGAGATTGCCGCTCAGGGACTGAAAGTACGAGATAATGGTGCGGCCTTTTCTCCACTGTTTCTTCTCCTTGAGGTGAACGATGCCGTATGGTATCGTGAAATCTTTCCTGTGTGTCAGGTATTCGTGGATGTTGGACGGTTGGAGTGTTGGCATGGGTGCAAAGAGTTCCGGTGACTGCCAGGTGGCAAGCGCCCCGGCGAAGTATTGGCGGGGGCAGAAAATGCGCAGCTGTTGCAGTTCGTGGTCAGCATGGTGAAGGACGACTTGGTCGCCTAGGAATTCCTGGAGTTGCCGGAGAAGACGAGCCGTGAAGCGGGGTTGGTGTTTCAAATGGTCAGTATGGAGCCTCCATTGGTGCTGGAGGAAGGGTTCCAAGTGCTGTGTGAGTGAGGGTGGAAGGCCTTGGATGCGCAGCCATTTGGTGAAAGCAGTCTGGAATGAAAGGAAGTATCTGGCCTTGCTGGGGTAGAAGGCGCTGTTCATATTGGCTGCCAGGAAAATGCGGGGGTGCGGTGGTAGTGCGAGTTGTTCAAGGGTGAGGATGTAGTGGCTGTCGATTGGGGGTGTAGTTGGATCAAGCAGAATGGTTTTGAGGTGGTCGCATGCACATGGCAAGTCACTGGAGGTCAGAGGGTTGGGTAGCGTACCCTCCCAGGTGCGGTGGTTGCGCAAATGGGCCCGGAGAGTCTTGCGGGCTGCTTCCCGCAGACGATGAGTAGGTAAGTGGAGCGGGATGGCCAGGTGTTTGCGGTGCTGTATTGTGGTCTTGAGCCACTGTTCACAGTGTTTGGGAAACTGGTCGTGGGCCAGAAAAGGTATGGTGAGGGGGATGTTGGGCTTGGGTGGACTGAGGTTGCGGTACTGGAGGGCTTGGTTGATAATGTGGAGTGCTCTGCTGCGACCAGGCTCTTCCAGGTTGGAGGCCATTCGTCGGATGGCGTAGACCTCAAGGTCGGTATGTTTGCCGCTGCGCAGTTGTTTGGCTGCTTCAAAGGAGGCCAAGGTGTGTTTAGTGAGATCGCGAAGGAGAGTGAGGGAATGGAGTCGAGTGGAGGTGAAGAGATGTGGTTCGTGAATGGCATGTTGCCGTCTGCGGAGCTTGCGGAAAAGTCGTTTGTGGGTTGGCAGGCGGGAGTAGAAATGAGCGCGGCGTTTTGTAAACTGCCACCCTTGAGCTTTGAGCTTGAGGTGGTGGGAGATGAAAGGCCAATTGAGTGGCGGCATCCAGTTGGAAATGAGGTAGTGTTCTTGGATCCAAGCCTGGTCGTAGGTATCGTGAGAGGAAAGTTGAATGGGTGTGAAGTGGTGGATGTTGTTGTGAGAATGCCAGTAACGAAGAGATAGTTCTGCTGAAATGGGAATGTTGTTTTGCAATTGTTTGAGTTTTGCCCGACGGTTGTGTTCCCTGTGTGGGATGCCAATGCCGGTAGAACCGATATAGAAATG